ATATGGGAAGATTACATATTTAACAGTATAAGTTTAGTCTATTTCAAAAATAAGAATACAAGTTTAAAGTTACCAAAATCAGATTTTTTTAAAATTTTTATTTATGAAATAATAAATTATTAAATTAATTATTATTAAATATTTAATTTTAATATAATATAATTAACTCATCTCACATTCACCACTCCTACCACTCCGACGACCGTTTCGATCATCGCCCTACTCCTGCGAACTTTCCGACGACCGTTCCGGCGACTACTCCGATTCCGGTGACCATTCCGGCGATGATTTTTTTTCGACTATTGCTCCTATTTCGGCAGTTGTTCCAACTCCAGCGATTATTCCGGCGACAACTCCGTTATATTTTTTTTGTAACGTTGACATTTTTTTTTACGATCACAACTCAGGTCACAAGTCACAACCCATATCACAAGTCACAGCTCAGGTCACAAGTCAAGAGTCACAGCCCAGGTCACAAGTCACAAATCAAAATTTTTACGGTCACACTTTAAAAATTTTATAAGCCACAATTTGTTTATCGGTCACAAGTAAAAAGATTTATACGTCATATTTATTTATCGGTCACAAATCACAAATATTTTAAATCACAATTTAGTAAATTGTCAAATTATCGGTCACAAATGAACAATTTTTTAGGTTATACATTATTTCTTGGTCACAATTTATATTTTTCATTAGTCACATATTGTTTATCGGTCACAGATTAACCAATTAAATGGTCACAGATAACTAAAAAATTTGTGACCACAACCAACCTTCACGACACTACCTCACGACTGCCTCAGCAACACAATCGCCACCGCCGCCAACACCAACTCACCAGCACCGCCATTTGTGACCACGATCACCATCACGACATCATCACTGTTACTTAACCACCATAACTAGTACCACCTCACCACCAACAAATCAGATCTAAAATCGCCAACACCCCACAATCGCCATCACCTCACAGTCGTTTGTTGTCCTATCTTTTACCGCCACTACTTTCAAACCACCAAAGAAACCACCC